GGTGCAGCAGGTGGGGATATGGCAACGACATCTGGAGGGGCGGCTGGAGGGGACATGGGCATGGCAGGGGGCTGAGGCAAGGCCATGCCATAGTGCACGGCATGACCAATGTGCAACATCAGGGTGGTAATCGTGTCACACATCTGTTTGCACCTCTGGAGGAACTGTCCCCACGCCTGCTGCCGCCACTCCGGTTCTTATTGCTGGGAGGAGCAGCTCCTGCCAGTGCCTCTGCGGGTGCAGAGGCTTTGGCGTGGGACAGGCAGCATGGGACAGGAAGGGTGCAGCAGGTGGGGATATGGCAACGACATCTGGAGGGGCGGCTGGAGGGGACATGGGCATGGCAGGGGGCTGAGGCAAGGCCATGCCATAGTGCACGGCATGACCAATGTGCAACATCAGGGTGGTAATCGTGTCACACATCTGTTTGCACCTCTGGAGGAACTGTCCCCACGCCTGCTGCCGCCACTCCGGTTCATCCTCGATCTTTCTGCTGACCACCGCCTCGACCCTTTCGATGGCCTGGCCATGCCGCTGGAGGAGCTGGTCCTGCTGCCAGGCCTGCTGGTCTGGTGCCTGGATGGTTGGTGGTGCCGCCACCGCAGGGCTGGAGAGTCCTTCGCTCCTGGGTGGTCCTGCTGCAGAAAACACAGAAAATGATGAGGCGCTCAGGCAGCCCTGCCCACACTGTCCCTGCGCCCCCTGCCCTGAGCTCCAGGCGACACCAAACAACTGTGGCTTGGGCCCAATGTTTGCATAAAGGACTCCCTGGAGTAAACTGATTCTCCATGGATTGTAACCCTTGGAAGACATCACTGAATGAAAACCCCTTGTCTGTGTCCTGGCCACTTGGCACGTGGTGTGTCATCCCGTGGAACTTCTTGCCAGGGGAGGCTGTGAAGGCTAGGACTATAACAGAGTTCAAAATAGAGCTCGATAAATTCATGGAGGTGAGGTCCATAACAGGCTATTAGCTAGGGGGTAAGGAATGGCGTCCCTGACCTCTGTTTGTCAGAAGCCGGAGATGGATGGCAGGAGACAAATCACTTGATCATTGTCTTTGGTCCACCTCCTCTGGGGCACCTGGTACTGGCTCCTGTCGGCAGACAGGATACTGGGCTAAAGGGACCTTTGGTCTGACCCAGTTGGGCCATTCTTATGCGTGTCTGCACTGCACTGTGCACATTCCCTCCAAAGGTAGAGCACATGGCTTCAACTCTTGTCACTGTCTGTGAGCAACACACAACTGATGCTGTAGTCAAGTTTGCGTACACATTCCCACATTGCAGGGGAGCAGATGTGGCAGACGAGGTCTGGGTTCTCGGACCATTGTCAATTGATGTCCTTGGAGACGGAGCCAGGGCAACTGGGGAGTGTACTGGCCATGCAGCAAAACTGAAGTGGCCATAGGCCCAGGCTGACCACTTCCCCGTTCCTGCTAGCCCTCTCACAAGTAGCCCAGGGAAATGCGTGGCTGCAGTGACGGGCTTTCACCAGGAGCAGCCGAGGGACTCCATGGGGGCCGTGCTCACAGGGCTGGCTCGCTGTGGTTTTCCCAGGAGCAGCTGCTGTGTCACATGGCCAGGTACTGTCTGTGTGCAGCACCCTTTGAGAGGTGTGGGGTCTGGCCTGAGCTCTTGGAGCCTTGGTTGCTTCCAGCCAGCATCCCCCCTGGGCAGGATGTGTGAGAGCAGCAGGGTCCCAGGTGTGCCCTGGAGCTGCCTGCCACATCCACATGCCATAGTCAGGCTGCACAAGGTTGCACGTGCTGCGTACTGCTGCACAGTGTGCAGCTCAAACTGCCTGAGTGAGGCTCCCTCTCCCTCCCCCCTGGTTACCTGTCTCCCCCTGCCCTTGCAAGTGAGAAGCATAACACTCACCAGAGGCGCCATCAACAGCCTCAGATGAAGCCCGGGAGATGTCCTGGCTGCTAAGCACTGGTTCCAGGTGCAGGGTGACGGTGCTGCTGCAGTCATCACCCTCATCCTCAGACCCGGACCCAGACCCACTGGGAAGGTCACCCTCCTCCTCTGCATCAGGTGGCCTGGTCACTGGGGGGTGCAGGCTGGTCCACTGTCACCAAGGGTCCTGGGACTGCTGTCTCACCCGAGGATGGCGTGAAGGCGGTTGTAGTGGGGGCAGGTGTCGGCTCCTGCTCCCTCACCCTCGATGGCCCGGACATAGCCCAGGCGCAGCTCCTTAACCTTGTCCCGGGCCTGTTCAAGGGTCCAGGCCAGATGGCCTTGATCCGAGAACATCTGGACCATGTGGCTGAAAAAGTCCGCGTTGCGGCAACAGGCACGGGGTCGTGGAGGGCTTCCTCTTCTGCCTCCAGGTCCAACAGGGCCTCTGCCTTAGCCCAGGACCAGCAAGGGGCACATCACTTGGTGCCCCTCCGGGCCTACTGAGAGCCCTGGGGTGGCTGCTGGGTGCCTGTGGAGCAAACATCTGGGCTCCTGCATGCAGCAGGGCAGAGCCACGTAGTGGAACTGCTGGCTGAGCTGCTGCTACTGTGCGGCGTCTGCAGGCTGCATGGAGCTTTAAGGGGGCGGTCTGGCAACCAGGAAGTAAGGAGCTGTGAGTGTGGGTACGGAGTGTCCAATCAGCCACTTGAGTTTTTTCCTGGGAGGCCAGTTCTTGCGCAAAAACTCTTGGCTGCCTGTCCGCACTGCCCTCTTGTGAAAGAATGCATGCGCAAGAAGGCTTCTTCTGGATACAGAGCGTCAGTCAGAGATCTCGCGCAAGAAGCCCTTTTTTCCAACGCTGTACAGTGAGCCCTCGCTACTTCGCGGTTCGACCATCGCGGATTCACGACTTCGCGGACTTTTTTCATTACGTATGTATATATTATAAAAGAAATATATCGCGGATTTTCCGGAAATTTCGAAAATAGCCGCGATATATGAAGACCCCAAATATTTCGTTAATTCCATTAATAATTAGTAATATCTGCTAATTATTGTAGTAATATCTGCTAACTGGTTTGTTAACAGTACTACGTAAAGGGAGGGTTTTAAAAGTCTGAATATACATGTTAAATAAATACGTAAATATGGTGTCCCTACTCCGCGGATTTTCAGCTATCGCGGTCGGGTTTGGAACCTATCTACCGCGATAAACGAGGGTTCACTGTACTGTAAATTTACTTGCACAAGAATGCGCGTGCAGTGTAGAAGCTCAGCAAGGTTTTGCACAAGAAGCCTGCAATGTAGACATAGCCTGCGATTTTAGATTGTAAAGGATTGGCTCTGGATCTTACCTAAAAGACATGCTAAGTGCAAACTGACCAGGAACTGTGGCTGGTTCTTTGGGATGAGGAAGATCTGTTCAGGATTGTGTTCTGTAACCCCTTACCTGTGTGTTGGCCTAGGGCTGATTGTGCACAGGAGGGCGAGCTGGGGTTTCTGAGGGGTTTTGCCCAGGAGGTTTCCTGGTGGCCGCATTGACAGCTGACCCGGCCCAGCCCATCACAGTCATGTCTACATCCAATTCATTTGTAATGAAATACTAGATAGTTTTACTAAAAAGGTGGACTTTGTGAGGCAAGACGGAAAACATGAGCTGTAAAGGAAATGACTAGATACCTATAACATGTCACTCTTCCTTTCCTTTCCTGCCATTTTCCACATTACAGTTGAAACTGCTAAAATTGGTTCAACTGTTGTTCAAGTCTCAGAGGGATAGTAGACTTGTTAATCTCTCTCTCTCATATATATATCTCATGAGCTTTCCTGGGCAAAACCCACTTCCTCAGATGAGCAGAGTGGAGGGTGAAAAAAAGAGCCTTTTTTCCCCCTCCAATCTGCTCATCTGAGGAAGTGGGTTTTGCCCAGGAAAGCTCATGAGATATATATATGAGAGAGAGAGATTAACAAGTCTACTATCCCTCTGAGACTTGAACAACAGTTGAACCAATTTTAGCAGTTTCAACTGTAATGTGGAAAATGGCAGGAAAGGAAAGGAAGAGTGACATGTTATAGGTATCTAGTCATTTCCTTTACAGCTCATGTTTTCCGTCTTGCCTCACAAAGTCCACCTTTTTAGTAAAACTATCTAGTATTTCATTACAAATGAATTGGATGTAGACATGACTGTGATGGGCTGGGCTGGGCCGGGTCAGCTGTCAATGCGGCCACCAGGAAACCTCCTGGGCAAAACCCCTCAGAAACCCCAGCTCGCCCTCCTGTGCACAATCAGCCCTAGGCCAACACACAGGTAAGGGGTTACAGAACACAATCCTGAACAGATCTTCCTCATCCCAAAGAACCAGCCACAGTTCCTGGTCAGTTTGCACTTAGCATGTCTTTTAGGTAAGATCCAGAGCCAATCCTTTACAATCTAAAATCGCAGGCTATGTCTACATTGCAGGCTTCTTGTGCAAAACCTTGCTGAGCTTCTACACTGCACGCGCATTCTTGTGCAAGTAAATTTACAGTACAGTGAACCCTCGTTTATCGCGGTAGATAGGTTCCAAACCCGACCGCGATAGCTGAAAATCCGCGGAGTAGGGACACCATATTTACGTATTTATTTAACATGTATATTCAGACTTTTAAAACCCTCCCTTTACGTAGTACTGTTAACAAACCAGTTAGCAGATATTACTACAATAATTAGCAGATATTACTAATTATTAATGGAATTAACGAAATATTTGGGGTCTTCATATATCGCGGCTATTTTCGAAATTTCCGGAAAATCCGCGATATATTTCTTTTATAATATATACATACGTAATGAAAAAAGTCCGCGAAGTCGTGAATCCGCGATGGTCGAACCGCGAAGTAGCGAGGGCTCACTGTAGTGGGTCTAGTGAATTCAGACTGAGAGGGTGCCTCCATCAGCGCCAGAAGCCCTGCCTTCTCACAAGGACTAAGGGAAGCCAATGGAAGCATTTGCTCCTTTTGAACTCCTGCTGTGTGGATGGCATGAAAACATGATTTAAGATACAATGACTCCAGCTACATAATTAACATAGCTGAAGTTGTGTATCATAAGCAGGGTCGGACGACCAACTGGCCGCCTCTCCCGCCCCTCCCGCCGAGCAGGAGGCACTGGTGAGTAGCCCCCGGCTCTCGGACACCCACCTTTGGCTGCTGGCTCTGGGGCTTGGTTGCAGCGGGCCTGCTGGTAGAGGAGGCCGGTGTCGAGAATTTTAATGCCCGACTGATTGCTACTGTATAAGTGGTAGGAAACTACTGGATTAAAACTAAGGAAGTGAAGGTGGATTCTGTTCAATCGCACAGTGGAGGAGCAAATCTGCTTTCTTGGGTGGGGAATGAAGGATGGCTCAGCTTTGTGTTTCTGGGAATTTTTTTTGAACATTTAAATATGTTCGCAAAGAAATGTTTTATCACCAGTGTTTGATTTGAATTCCACATTGGAGCCCCAAATGTTAGTCTGTATCTGCATAAACCACCAGAACACTTGTGGCACCTTAGACTTACAGGATTTATTGGAGCATAAGCTTTTGTGGGAAAAAAACCCACTTTGTCAGATGCATGGGTTCTCAGTCCATTAGCTGTAGCTTTTGGATATGTCACAGTACTATCTTACCATAGAACACTACAATTGGAAGGGACCTCGAGAGGTTATCAAGTCCAGTTCCCTGCCTTCTGGGCAGAACCCAGTTCCATGAGTCATGTTATGCCATGTTAGATCTTAAAAGCAAATAGGGAAGAGACATAGACCTTCTATTGAAAAGCCCAGGAGTGTGATGATTCATTAACTGTGTCACTTTTCTGGCTGAGTACTGTACCAGTGATGCTGCAATAACATTTGTCACTGTTTTATGGTTTCTTTCACATCACGTGTCTTCAGTTATTAATCTGATATGATTAAGTGGGTTTTACCGGTTGAATCTGTTAGTCTGTAAGGGTGTGTCTACACTTACACCGTCTTTCGAGAGGGATGCAAATGAAGCCGGGATTTAAATATCCCATGCTTCATTTGCATATTTGCATTATGGCGCTGTTTCGCCATAATGCAAATATGCAAATGAAGCGTGGGATATTTAAATCCCGACTTAATTTGCAATTCCGAATGTCTTCATTTGCATTCCTCTCTCGAAAGAGGGTGCAAGTGTAGACATAAGGTGCTACAGGACTCTTTATCCACCAAAAAAAAAAAAAAAGTAACATGGCTACACTTCTCTGGAAAAAAAATATAGATAGAGAGAGATTATTTAACTTTTGAGTTTGATGTGCCTGTCTTTCTGTGTGTGTCTGCAAGTCCATTTGTTCAAAAATTCTTCTGATCCCTGCTGTGCCTCTGCTTAGCTGTTACTATATTTAAAATGCAGAGCTGCAGCGCTGGTGGCTTTGGAGTGGGTATGAGCCATGACTGCTCAGTCCCAGCTGGAGTCAGCTACTCTGGAGCTACCCCCACTGTGGTTGTGCAGGCACTTATCAACTAAATGTATAATCCGTACAAATTGTATCAACTATGGGATTAGCCATATAATCACATTTTAACAACCGTGGCCCAGTCTCACAGTTTTGTGAGATCCCTTTGTAACTCTTCAGAGTCAGCTTTGGATTTAACAATCTTGAGTATTTTTATACTGTCTGCCAACCTAATTGTTTACCCCCTTTTCTAGATCATTTAAGAATATATTGAACAGTACTGATCCCAGTATCCTTTAGGAACCCTGCTATTTACCTATTTCCATTTTGAAAATTGTTCACTTATTTCTATCCTTTGTTTCATATATTTTAATACTGATTATGAGAACACGTTCTCTCTTATTCCATGACTACTTAATTTGCTTAAGAGTATTTTGGTGAGAGACCTTGTTAAAGGCTTTCTAAAAATCCAGGTATTTCCCCAGGATCGATTTTTGTCCACATGTTAAACACCTTCAAAGAATTCTTCTAGATTGGATTCTGCATGTTTTCCTTTTACAAAAGCTATTTTGATTATTTCCCAACATACCCTGTTGAAATATGGGGGTGGGGAGTAGTCAGTAGGTGAAATCTGGACTGCCAGACACTTGAACAAACAACAAAATCTTTTTTTATTATAATTATTGTTAGTGTACTATATTATTTTCTCTGGAGTCTGGACTTTTGCCTATATCTTGACCAAGATATTTGGACCTTGAGAAAAAATAAATGACTGCCCTTGATCTATAGTAAAGAACACAATTATCAGAAACCGTTTCAGCCAGTTTCCCTAGTACTGAAGTTAAGCTTTCCATCTTGGAATTGTATTTTTAATAACGTACCCTTTTAAAAAAAAATAAGTACCCTCAGTACCTACACTTTTCAGACACATTTTTTTCTACCATTGCAACACATATGTTTAAACAAACAACTTAATCGTAGCCAGGCAGGCGATGACATTTTTGGGTGTAAAAAGTACAAAAATAAGTGCTTTAAAACTTGAAACAAAAATGCAGTTTTCTCCAAATTTCAGTTGTGTTGACGTACCCCCTAGACATCTCTCGAGTACCCCTAAGGGTACTCATACCACTGGTTGAGAGAACTTACCTAGCTAACTAAAATCTTGCAGGACCATGGTTGTCAGATTGGAAAGATTCTACTTGTACTTGCTGCTTCAAATGCTTTCTTGGACTCTTTAATTATTATTCTTACACTTGATTTCACAGAGTTCATGTTCCTCTCTGTTCTATATCCATCTTGCGTTTCAGTGATATGTTTTTTATTGTTGGGATGAGCCAGCATTTAGGTTCCTGTGGCCTTTGTGTTTTTAGAAGCTGTAACAGAGTCCTAGTTTGCATCAAATGTTTGAAATATGGCAGAAGGAAAATCCTAGGATCAAAGAGCTGTCTATTTTACCCCATGATATTGTTAAGGTTTTTACTTAGAGATTCATTTTTGGAAAAGGACATTTCCCTTCTTTGACTTGTTCTTCAGAAATATTTTGTCACAATTCAGAAATAATTAAACATATTAGGATCCAGTTCATGTATGTGTTAGGAAACAGCAACAGCAGCATTACACTCTGTATTGGGAACACTAGGAACTCTTACAGCAGCTGTAGCCAAGAAGATGAGGGGAAAGAGACACAGGGGCTTGCACGCAAACCCAGCAAATGGCTCTAATGAGCTATTTCTTCCCCTCCCTTTGGGGGTTATCATGTGGGACAGAAGCTGCCACATCTCCTAGTGGTGGAAGAGATCTAGACTAGGTCCCCTCCTCCCCCTTTAGGATGACAGCCTTCTACTTACTAGCTAATGTAGTGTCTTGTAATTTACGGAGAAGCAGCTTTTGCTACATTGCTGAAGGTTCAGGGTTCACACCCAAGTGATGAAGTATGATTTGGGGGATGAGGAGATTGTTATATTTGCATGTAAGAGGATTTGTTTATATGAGAGAGGGAAAACGGAGAGGGTAATGTTTTTTCTGCGGGATGACAGAGTGACCGTCGTCATGTCATTCTGCATCCCGCAGTCTCTGCCCTCCCATGACCTCCTGCCCTTTTTCTGCGGGATGACAGAGTGACCGTCGTCATGTCATTCTGCATCCCGCAGTCTCTGCCCTCCCATGCCCTCCTGCCCCAGACACTGTTCAGGGACCAGCAAAGCCACCTGGTAGCCCAGCCTGAGCAGATTTTGCTTTCTGAAAGGCTGCGGGCAGGACCCTTCAGAGGCAGAATCTGCCCAGGCTGGGCTGCCTGATAGCTTTGCCTGTCCCCAAACAGTGTCTGGGGCAGTGAGTGATTCCATTTAGGGCCTGGGTGCTGCTCCAGATCAGCCCCCCCCCCCCCGCCATTACTCAGAGAGGAAATTCCAGGTAGAAGGTGTGGGGCGGCTCGACCCTGGGATATTGGGGACCTTCCAAGCGTCCAGGGAGCCTGCGGTGCCACATGGGAGCAGGGCCACAGGGGAAGCGGTGCGGGGCCTGGTGGCTAAGGGAAGGTTCTGGCTGTGCACCATGCTGGCCCTGATGGCCTCCTGTTCTGGAGAAGCACTCACTGATCCATATCCCCTTTTGGCAATTATCTTTGGTGTGCAACTGCATGTGTGAGGTGGGCTGAGTTTTGTCTTGCTGCCTGGGGACGGGGGCCGCAAGACTGTGCTCCTCCCAGGTGGGAGCTTTCAGCCCCCTATTCCAGAGGGCTGCTTCAGCTGGTGCAAGGCCCAGGGCACAGTCTGCTCAAACTGGGCTCCCTGGCTCTCTTTCCATCCTCCATGTGTGTCCTCAGCCCCTCTCCTGCCCCCTCACAAGCTCCCATCCTCCCTTCTTAACCTGGCATACCAAAGGAGCCCCTGGTCTCTGACTATCCCTCCAACCTCTGTCTCTGCATCCTTTCCATTTCTTCTGCCCTCAGACATCCTATTTCACAGCACCCCAGCAATGCCACCTTTGCTGCCCCTTCTCTCTAGGCAGCTTCCCAGATCCTGCTGTCACAGCCTCCCTCTTCCCCCCTCTTCCTCCTCCAAAATTCCTGCACATGGGTCTGGTGCTGTTTCTTTGCTTGTTGGGTTGCCTGTTCCTGGGAGGGAGGAAAGGTGATAAGGGTGTATGTGGGGATGGGTGATGTGGTAACGGGGGCTGGTGAGGGTGAGAGGGGTATAGGAATGGAGGCGGGGGTTGAGGGGAGGCAGTGTGGGAGTGCAGAGGGAGAGAGGTTAGGAAAGGATGGGGGTGTAGGAATATGGAGGAAGGAGGTGGGAGGGAAATGCAGGGGGAGGAAGAAGAGGGATTAGGGAGGATGGTGAGGGTAGGAATGGGGAAGCAGGAGAATGGTGTAGTAATGGAGGACAGAGGTGAGGCTAGGGGTGAAAGGAGGGGGATGGGCTGTGGTCCATGGAATATATTATTGGCAGGTGGGGCAGGAGTGGGAAGGGTGCAGGCAGGGAAGACTGGCTGGCAATTGAAGGGCATGAGTGGGTGGGCTGGACTGAAAGCATTCAGATAGAGGGGCCCATCCAGGGATGTGAGTGATGTGGGGCCATGGAGAGCTCAGCTGGGCTCGGTGCAAGATTAACAGACTCTTTAGCCGCAAAATCAGCCAGCCAGAAGGGGAGGCTGGCTAGTGTAGCGAGCAGGGGGCATAGCCTCCTAGTTTTTCTTGAAAAGAAAAACCTAGGAAACACCATAAGTATGTTAAAGAATCTAATTTAAGTTGCAAAGAGTGGTGTTGTCTGTGCAACCTTAATTTAATCTCCATGCACATATGTATTTTGATACAATTTTCATGATTTGACACTTATTTTTCACAGGATCCTGGTTTTGTTACAAACAATAAATTCATTGCAGGGGAGGGGCAGACAAAAAATTAAAGTTGCACAGTGAACCAAAATTTGCTATGCCCTACCTTTGCGGTGATTTACTTTTAACATAATGTTTGTGGCTGTAATACACATCTAATCTATAGTGCTTTAGACTTTGTGGGGAGGATATGCACTACAAAATTGAAATTTTGCTTGCTTGCTTTTTTTTCAGTTTAAACCGAAGCCGCTGTTGTTGAAGTTGTTAAAATTTGCTGGTGCCCAAAAGGACACTTTTACAATGAAGGAGGTAACTTATCATAGCTTCTCATTAATAATGATGGATAGCGATAATATAATTTTCACTCTTACAAGTTTACTATACTCACTAGTTACTCTATAATGAAAGAGAAATAGTGTGGTTTATTGGATAGGACATGGGTGCAGAAGTTGGGAGGTGGTTCTATCCTGGCTTTCTTGTAAAATGGGGTACTGTTAGGGATGTTAAATTTAGTTTAATCAACTAGTTGATGGATTTTCTATCAATTAGTCGAAAAGTGGGGGAGCTGCCCACTGCAGCTCTGCCTTTTACATGTATTAAGAACCGGCAGGCTCTTAATACATTTAAAAGGCCAGAGGCGCAGTGCCTGGGACTGGGAATCAGCTGATTCTCAGCTCGCTCTTGATACCCCTACCCCGTGCATTCTGCAGAGATAGTGCTTGAGGGGGAACCAGCTTTTAAGCCAGCTCCCCCCAGCTCCTGCTCTGCCACCTCCCCTCCCCCTGCTGCCTTTGGTAAGACAGCAGGAGGGCTACTAGTGGAGGGACTATTCGACTATCTGATAAGCTTTTGCTTATCGGATAGTTGACAAGTCGTTCAGATTGCTTACATCCCTACTGTGTATAGCTCGGAGAACTACATATGAAAACTGCTACATTAAGTATTTATTTATAATTCTGTTAATATTACTGTGGAGTTGCAGGTGATAATTGAAAGGAGAATAGATTCTTTGAGGGCTGAAATTTGTTTTATATTATCAAGTTATAAAGATATTTAATATAGCTATATTTGACTTGCATTGCAGGTAATATTCTATCTTGGCCAATATATTATGTCTAAACAACTATATGATGAAAAACAGCAGCATATTGTCCACTGTGCAAATGATCTTCTTGGAGATCTTTTTGGCGTACCAAGCTTTTCGGTAAAAGAACACAGGTAAATTTCACACACTCATTGTGAGAGAGATACGTATGAAATGTATTGTAACACACAGAATGTCGGTATTGGTTTGCAGTTTGTTGCATATTTTATTTGTCTAAGTTATGACAGATGGAATTTTCATAATTGTATCTCACCTGGGCAGGGAGGCCCAGTTCAGCCTCCATTTATAGCTAACTGCCAGACCTCAGAAGCAAAATAGACTTCCGAGATTCAGTAATCTTAGAGCCTTTGTCTACTTTGAAGAGAGATTCTCCCATTTAGAGTAGGGATTTTAGCATATAGTTGTTTAAATGATTAACCAATGAGTTTGGGCTTATCAATTAATCCAAATTACTATACGCAGCCTCTTGCCCTCCCCCACACTGCCTCTGTATCAGAGAGAGAGGCGGGAGCTGGTGCCCAGGCTCTGCGGAATTGCCTTCTGCTCTCATCCTGCACTGTTGCTTCTGTATCAGAAAGTGGGGCTGGAGTCAATCTGCACAGGGAGCTAATTTTTAAACTGGTTCCCCTCACGGACTGGCTTTGCCTGCCACACAGCGCTGCTGCCTCTGATGCAGAAGCAGCAATGCTGGGTGGCAGAGGGATCCCCCGGAGAGGAGCCGGGAGCACACTGGCTGCCTGCCCTGCCCCCAGTGAGCATTTTAGTTACTGTTGTGGTTACACAATTACTAAAATACACAATATCTAACATCCCTACTCCAGACCTTGAGTTAATAGCAGCATAATTTAGACATTATTCAAGTACTTCAGACCATCTCTTTCCCATTATGAACTCTTTTACTGAACTTGGTCTCATGAATAAAGAGGTTGCAGAGAAGAAGCATATGCTCTTTTGTTTTCTCTGAGCAGCTATGCCAGGGGAAGGGAACGTGTTTGGATTGGGGCTACTGACCCACAGAAAAATGCAAGTGAGAAGGAAAAAAATATCCTCCTGGACATGGCCTACAACTGATAAGCAGAAGGGAAAAAAGACACCTCACTCATGCAAATGGTGTGCTAGAGTTCCCCTTGTCTTCCAGTCTCATGGGAGGCCAAGGCACCAAGTCTTAGAGTCTTCTCCCCACCCAGGGCTGGATTAAAACTTGTGGGTCCCCCTAAACTCTAGCGTGGGGCCAAAAATCAGAGGTTTGGGGTAGTAAGGAGGTTGCTTTGGAATGGGGTGGGGATGCAGGTAGGGATGTAAGTGATTAGTCGACTACCCAATAAACTTGGGCTCTTACTACATTTAAAAGGCAGAAGTGCAACAGTTGGGGCTTGGCATAAGCAAAGACTGCTTGAGTCCCCATTCTCCCCAGGTTGCCCACTGCGCACTACATTTTAAATGTAGTAAGAGCCATCGGTAGCTCTTAGGGAGGTGAGGTGCTGAAACGGGCTAGGGAATCCCAACCAATGGGAGTGAAGAAAATAGAGCCTGCAGGCCAGTGCAGGGGACCGAGCTTTCCTGCGCAGCCATTCCCAACACAGCCACTTCTTCCCCTGCTAGGCAGAGCCTGCAAGTTGGAGGAGGCTCACAGTTTGTCTTGATCTGGTCCATAAGGTTCAGGTGTCTCTCCACTCTTCCCCCTCTCCCTCCCTAGCAGCATCGAGTTGGTGCTGCAGCCACGCAGGGGAGGAGGGGTCACCAAACCTCAGAGCTCCTCATATGGCTGGAGTGCCAGTGTAGACTTGAACTACTGTTGAGAGGGGTGGAATTCCAAGCCTCACTGGCTGGATCAAGGCAAGCTGCGGAGCCATAGGTTCCCCATTCCTGAGCTATACAACTCATCAGCACACAAAATCTTTGCAACACCCTACACTTTTTTCTGAAATAGGTATATTGCTGAAAAGCCCTTATGCATGACCTGGACCTTGCCATATCCCTACAAATTGAAGATATTATTTTTCTCTAGATTAAACCCTGAATGGTGCTGTATAAGTTTTATTAAAAATGCTTTCAATCATGATTAGTGATGGTCCAACTTCTGGTTGAGAATTTTTTTTGACAAAATTGAAACTTAAAATTTCTGATCTTGATGAAAATGTTTCATTTGTTAAGAAATTCAAAATGGATTTTGAGAGCTTTTTTTTTTTTTAAGCAAAAACAAAGTTTGTTCCGTTTGTTTTGGTGGTGGAAAACACTTTCACTTTTTCTACTGTTTTCACTTTTTGTAATGAGGTGGGATAAGAGGAGAGGAAAGCTTAAAAAGCGAAGTGTTAATGTAATTCTTCCCCACCAAAATAAAATGAAAACATCCAAAAAAAATTTGAAGAAAACAAATGCTCTCATTTCTTTTTAATAAATGCACTTCCCTCTTTTTTAGCTATCTCTAATCATGGCTTACAAAATAAACAGTGTTTTCAACTTGGTCTTTGCTCTAGTTTGGCTAAAATTATCACAGTAAATATGAACCTTCCAATTTTAAACATACAAAAAGTCTATTTTGTTCCCTTTAAGGAAAATACACTCAATGATTTCCAGAAACTTGATAGCAGCCACTCAACAAGGTAAGTTAATGTTGAAAGGCCTTTTTTGTTTGGAAGGGAAAGGAAGTGGTCTTTATTAAATGGAAGACTTCTGAAAACTGTACTACCTTGCATTGCAGCCATTATTCATGTAACTTCACTCATTAATAGATGATGTAATTATTGTCCCTTTTTTAAAAAAAGTGGAGGTGAATTGCATCTTCTTGTAAATAAACTGTTTAAAGCCCTATGGGTCTAGCACAGAAAATTGGCTTGAACTTGCTCATAATGAAGTCAGTGGCAAAACTTTCATTGTCTTCAATGGAAACAAGATAGAGCAATGTGTGTAGACTTTGGTTTTGTGCTCTTAGCATACTCAGTTTGTACAAAGAAATATATTTTAAAACAAAATATTTGAAAATTGGTTAATCCTTAGCTATCTGGTCTAACTTGAGTTAACATTTCTTTTGTAAAAGTTGACACGGTAAACAATAAATGCAGCAGGAAAGAAATCTATATACTTCCATTCTTATGAGCTTAATAAATCCATATATAATGAATTAATAAAAGAGACTATGGTTTATTTAAATGTATTCACATTGCAAGAAAAGGATGGGATGGTACTGCTGTGATGTAACTTAAATTTAATAAGTGATTGAAATGAAAGTAAAAAAGTGGATGAATTTTTTTTAAAAAGCTCTTAAGTCTATATTTATACACATAATGTGTTTGATTTTTTTTCAGTGTTCCCCACCTAATATCTCCCATTGGCTTCAATGGGTGCTGTTGGGTGTGCAACACTTGGAATATCAGACAAGTGCCTAAATATGGACTTTGGGGCTTAACATTAGGCTCCTACTTTTGAACATCTTGTCTTGAACAGCAGAATAGAAGGATAAAAATAGAGAAGTTCTCAGAGATAAAATCTAGTTAATTCAGGGTCCATTCTGATTGTGTAGTTAGAACAGTTATTCCTGTGTCTTAGTATATTAGTGACGGTGAATGTCTCTTAGAGAACTTGATGTCATCTTTTGTAAACCAGTGGATATTATATATAGTGTAGTATCAAATTTTAAAAGGGTGGATTTTTATAAGAATATTTCCAAAGATGAAAGAATAGTGGGAGAGATTCCAAAACACATACAGCTACATTTCTTTTTTCTTGCGTTGTGTATGTAATATAAAGAAAACCCTGAACATTCTTAAGAATATAAACTGATACATTAAGTATTCTCTGAACTATGATTTAAAACAATATGTATAAAGTATTTGCAGTTTTTTACAACTTTCACTTATGTCCCTTGAGCCTGCAGATTTTTTCTTTTCTGATGCATTGTATTATGTATTTTTCTTTTTAAGCGTCTATGGAAGCTAACACATCTGAGAATGAGACCAGGAGTGAGCTTGAAAAGGGCAATATTCTAAAGGTGATCTGTCAAATATACTCTTTCAAATGTCACCACTTTATTTTCTTTACCATTGCGATATGGATGCAGTGAAAAGATAAATAATTTAGTGCTATCCACAGTAATAGTATGCTTACTTAGTATTTGTGTTAAATAGGAATCCATGCAAGAGTTAGTGGAAGAAAAACAGACATCCCCAAATTTGACTGCTAGACCAGCTACGTCTTCTAGGAGGATACACAGTGAATCTGGTATGTGCACATTTATAATGCAGGATTTTCAATATTTTTATACCTTTCAAGGGTGTGTTATCATAGAGCATACTTGTACATCTCTGGTTCTTGTCATCTTTTTGGGGAGTCCACATTTTCATGTTTTTTTAACCATTGTGAAAGGTACCAGATAGACATCAGTCTCCACAGCTGAGATCCTCTTTTTTCCATAGAGTAGATGCAATGTTGTTAATTGCAGTATAGACTTCCCCACATATTTGTACATATCCTACCACAGCAGTCTTCAATATTGTAGGACCCTAAAATATTCTGTACTTGCATTCAAACCTTCTTGGGAATCTTTGACACAGTCTGCATTCCCCCAGGAATCCATGGACTGCAGATTGAAAACCACTATCCTAGGACAATGGGGCCTTGATCCATGACTAAAGCTTCTCAGAGCTATGACAATACAAATAATAATCTCACTAGCATGGTACAGTCCTTATCTTCAAGGACTATCAGTAGGATAATGGAGTAACTCGGTCTCCATGCCTGTTCAATCCTCTACCTTTCTACTGGTCTCACTAACCCGGATATTGTTGTGTTTTCATTGTGGCCATCTTTTCACACTCTGAACTATCAAAAACGGATGTCAGGTAACTTTTCAAACAGTCACCAGATTATAACATTTGGGCTGCTGTTTGTAACCTGCTAGTATTGGGTTTAAGCCAGTGATGTGGGGTGAAAGCCTCTATTTTATCCTGCTATCTTGGTCCAGATTTTGAAAAGCATTGTCACCTAAATGTCTGCGAAAATTTGGCACTCTGATTCTCTTCTGTACTTCTTCTGTCTGCATGGAAACTTAATATTTACTGGATAATGCATTTCCGAAATCTGAGGTATTGATGCTGATATTTAGTAGCTGTAATTTGTAGGGGAGTTTGCGTTGGTAAGTTATGTTTACCATTCAACCTCTTGGTGAAGACACTTCATAACTTTTAATTATATGTACTATGCACTGGAAACTTCCATACCAGTCTTCATTTTATCAATTATTAATTATCTGGTGGTTCTTGATAGTTGTGATTAAGTAATATTAACTTTTCACATTAAAATCCCGGAATGCAATTTTTATTTTGTCTTCTTGTGCACAGAAAGTTGCTTGATCTATGTAAGGTATTTTCAGTATGCTCATCTTTGTAGTATTTAGGCAGCAGTCATCTTGGCCTATCATAAAACTGTACTTCAGTTATAAGCCATTTATACTATATTAAAAGAACTCCTTAATGTTGTAATTCAAACTGATAAAAGGATGAAAATTCACAGGCCAGGATTATAATTTGTATTACAGGTTGTCCCCAACTTACGAACGAGTTACGTTCCAAACGCTTGGTCGTAACTCGATGTATTCATAAGTCAGACCCCATTCATTTAAATGCGACTGCGCTGTTCATTAGCGCAGATCGCGTTTGTAACTTGGGGACCAGTTTAATGGGAGGTTGATCGTAAATATGAATGATCATAAGTCAACACGTTCGTAAGTCGGACGACCTGTACACACAATTCAGGGTTATCAGTCTCTGCTTGCTTATTGCAGATTTAATCTTTAGCTGTTTTTGCATCCTTTTGTCAGTTTATTACAGCCTTAATTCTTTTAATATAGTGGTTTTATTTACACTGTTTTTTTAATTTATAGGAAATCTTCCCCTTAAACCACTATGTTTGTTACATTGGGATGGTAGCGGCTCCTTTGCTACTATTTCACTGTAAATGTTTAAAAACCTTGTGTTGGCATGTCATCAATACATCATGGAGAGATGACAACTTAATGAGGACAACGATGGACAGGAGCAACGGTTGGGCCTGGGGGCATCTAAGTTTGAAGGTTGGGGCTCTCAGGGCGAAAAAAGAAAAGAGAGGGACTGAACCAAGAAGCATCAAGGGAAAGTGAGAGGAGTCACAAAGTATGTACAAGTTCTTTTTTCTTTTAAAACTAAAGATACCAGGCTTAGAGGCCCTGGGATAGATTTTTTTCAAACTTTTTTTTTTTAACAGTACAAAGAAAGGATAAAGTGATTGTGTGAAAGGCACCTGTAGGTGGAAGCAAGCTCTATTGACTAGTCATTGAACCAATTTGACAATCTTGGTAGGCAGTTTCTTTTCACTGCATTTATTACGCATGGACTAAGCAGTTGTGTTTTAAGTCTTTAAGTTCTTTTGTAATACCTTTTCTTACTGTCAGTGGAGTTGAATTTTGATATATTTATCTCCTCCTCCATCTCTCATTTGTACTGCCAGAATCCAAAATATCAGAAACATTAAAAAAGCAGAGCTTTGCTACCTTCATACCAAAAGTTTTGAGTTTTTCAGCTTAAAATATTTCCACAGTTGACATCTTGAGCATCATGATTTAGCCTTGAAGGAATTCTGTGTGGACTTTTATGTCCTCTGCAAATTGTGGTTCCAGTAGAAATCCTGATACCTTATAAAATACACTGTTACATGCCAAGTTAAAATAAAATTCTGGATTTCCAGAGGCAAATAGGAGTTTGTTCTTATGATTTCTTAAACATAGTATCTGCTGCCTGTGGAAATCATCTGTACATCTTAATGATGGGGCAGTCAGTGAAAAACAGCCCAGAAGTGTTAGTCTTGTGCTCATTTTACGCCATTTTCTTTCAGGAATATGGCAAGAATGTGTTTCATTGTCTTTTAAAAATTGGTTAGGTGCCTTTGTTTAATTTTCCGTTGAAAACAGTAATTGATATTGAAGTTCTGAATAAATAAAATCCAGTTTAAACATTTGCTAAAATACATGCACATTGTGTACTTCATAGATACCTTTGTATTAATCAGCTTTTTGTCTTTGACACAGAAGAAAGTTCTACAGATGGGCAACCTAGTGAAAGAAGAAAACGCCATAAGTCAGACAGCATATCACTCACATTTGATGAAAGCCTTTCTTGGTGTGTTGTAAGTGGGTTATGCTGTGAAGGAAGCAACAGCAGTGACTCAGACTCTGCAAGTCCTGTAAGCAAGATGTGTTTTTAATTATGTTGAGAGTTAACACATTTTTCAGATGTGTATTTTCAGTATTACGTTCATATTTAAAACAAATAATGCTTCTAGTTTTATTTAAGAACTTGAAGTGTTGTTAATTATGTGGGTTGGATCACAAAACATAAATGAATTTTTCTTAAATATTCATGAATATTCAGAAGAGAAAACAAAACAAATTAATTCTTAGAGCTTGGTAAAGTAGAAAAAGACAAGTGGTGCCTTTGAATTGTGTATGAATACCAGAGAGCACGTTTAGTAACTGGAGTAAGTTATTTACATTCACTTCCATTTCTCATCTGTAAAATGTGGATTAATGTTTACACACCTTTGTTAAAGCATTGTGAGATTTGATAAAAGATGCTGTGTATGTATTATAAAATTTCAGTCCATAATAGGGATATGATAGTGTATTTGATTAACATAAGCTTTTGCTTATTGGTTAATCAATGCTACAGACTACATGCATTTTCCTTCCCCTTCTTTCCCTTTCCAGTAATTTTTTTGGCCAGCAGCCTGGTTCAGTCCTAGCTCACACTGGATCAAGGACCTACTCTGACAGTGGCTCTATGTTTAAAGTGTATTAGGAGCCAGATGGGCAGGCAGCCCAGCTCAGTTCTGACTTGTGCCAAGTCTGGGAGCGCAGCCCTTCCACCTTCCCCAAACAGGGGCTAGTGCCTCTGTATCAGAGGCAGCAACACAGGGTGACAGGCAGCCGGTTCACAAGGGGAGCTGAGTTTTAAACGGACTCACCTTGAAGATTAGCTCCCATCTGGCATCCCACGTTGCTGCCTCTGTATCAGGTGGAGGCACTGAGTGGCAGGGGGCTCCTCCAGAGTGGGGCCAGAGCGCACTGGCTGCCAGGGACTATAAAATAGTCGAGTAATTGATAAGAATTCATGAGGTTAATTGAATGTTCAATTAACCAATATTTAACATTCCTTATACAGAAGTGAAGTATCTGTTTAAATTCACACACACTATCTGATTTTGCTATCATTTAAAATATATAGAAATGTAAGTTTAAATGTCATTTGTGTTATATCTCCACATGGTTTTGGAGTCTGTTTTAATGTTTTTTGTTTTAAAATTTTAGAAATATATGATTCGATGCACATTTTAAAAGATTCATGTAACTGAAACATAAATACCAACTTTAGAGTGGTATGAGGATTTGGCTGAGACAAATATTTTATCTCTACCAGCCATTTGAACAGTGTCTCTATTTACTGCTATGTTTAAATACATATGTAGTGATATGAGTCATAAGAATGGATTAATAAAGTTAAATATATTGCCTCCTCCCTTTTTATTCAGAATCTTCATGCCAGTTCGTTAAGCGGAAACTCAGATGATTGGTTTGACCAGAGTTCTGTTTCAGACCAGTTTAGTGTGGAGTTTGAAGTTGAGTCCGTTTATTCAGAAGATTATAGCCATAATGAAGAAGGGCAAGAGCTCACAGATGAAGATGATGAGGCATGTATATATATTCCTCCTGTCCCAAATAGGAAATGTTATTGCAAAAGCATTTTGTTGGAATCCAGCATGAAACATTTCCATAATATCTTTCTTGTCTGTATGTTTTGTGGCAAATATGAACTGCCATTCTTTATACTGAGGTTTTTAATCATAGGAACTTAGCCATGATTGTTCAAGAAGCTCCATGTAGGTCATTTATAGGGCCTGAAGGAGTCATTATAATAGTTTAATTTGACTTTCACCATAAATAACATAGGTCACAAAATTGTATCCAGTATAAGTTGTTGAATTTCAGAGCAGGCTCGGAGTCCACTTATGCATCGTTTCTTGAAGGATAAAAAGCCTCTTTGCTTGGAATATGTATCTACATAGTGGAAGAAAACTTCCTAATTTTTGAAAGGAAAAATATATTGAGTAGGATATTTATCTGCATAAAGTTAAAGGTCAATAGAAAAATGTTCAGAATATATTTTGGAAAAACTATTTAGGACTTTTATATTGGGGTTGCCAAACTTACTGGCTTTCTGAGTAGAATATGATAATTTAAGAAGTTAGAGGGTAGAGGCACACCTGCCTGAGCTTAGCATTCAGCTCTGCGACAGGGACCTGCCAGGGCTTATGGTTTCAACCCTGTACCCACTGAAGTCTCAAGCCTTGTCAGGCATGCACTATAGGGCTGAAACCAAGACACACCCTTCCTGCTTAGCAGAAGCCTCTATCTCATCACCCTGCTGCAAGGCAGAGGGCTCCAGCTCTTTCCTCTTTTCCCCCCAACTCTGGTAAGTGGAGAATGGAGGGAGTGAGAGTGTTCCACAAGCCACATTTTAACATAAAAGCTACCTGTGGCTCATAAGCAACAGTTTGGCCACTTTAGCTGTCTTTTAAAGATAAGAAACTGCATAGGTAGCCTTAAAAATGACAAACTCTACAGTGATCTCTCTGATACAATGTTAGAAGAATTAATGTCTTTCAATTTGGGGGTTAAATATTTGTATAGCTAAATTGTTTGCTCACATCTGAGCGAGGCCTGTTGTTTGTCTGTATTGTGCATCTTTCAAGAGGTTGTTCCCAAATGAGAACAAAAATTTCTAGTGCTAGTCTGTATTAGGGATGTATAATTCCTTTTAATCAACTAACTGGTTAAATATATTGTTTAACCAGTTAAAGAGGGGCAAATGGGGGCTGTTCCAGCCATGCTGGAGCAGACCCTGACCTGCTGTAGGGCTGGAATGCCCTCCCTTCCTGCCACTGGCAGTGGTTGCTCCAGCTGGCCAGAGCAGCCTCTGCCTGCCCCCAATTCCCCCCAGCCATGGACAGAGGCTGCTCCAACTGGGAGGAGTCTCTGCTTGCGGAGGTCCAGGGTGCACTGCAGGCTGGGGCTGCTCTGGAATCCTGTTTGGAGCAGCCCATTTCTGAAGCAGGCCTCCCTGAGAGGCTGAAGAAGCTCCCTGCCCGTGGCAGGTAGAGAGCTGCTCTACCTCCACCAATTAACTGGTTAAACCTTCACATCCCTAGTTTGTATCCATAAGTGATAGTGCTCCCTCTTCCTTCGATAGTACGTAGTATATACAGTTACATCATATTCTAGAACAGGGGTTCCCAAACTTACGTGGACCAGTAAATCCATTCACGAGCTTTTGGAGGACCAGTAACTTTCATTTGCATATTTGCCTATTCAATAAGCAAATGATGAATATTCAAATAAGTTGTTTCTGGTCCTCCCAAAGCCCCCAGTGCCAGCGTTAGCAAAGCTTTTGATACAGTCACCCACAATATTTTTGCCAGCAAGTTAAGGGAATATGGATTGGATAAATGGACTGTAAGATGGATAGAAAGCTGGCTAGATCAGGGTTTCTCAAACTTTTTACTTTAGTTGGAACCCGTTTTTTTTTTTTTCTTTTCTTTTTTGGCAGTACTGTCTTTTGCAGCCCAAAAGTATAAACACACATTAAAAAAAATGAAAAATGAATAAATTTTCAGTGTTTCACCCGGCTGCATCCTCCTCCCGGCCTGGGCCAGGGCTTGGGGGATCCTGTGCCACATGAGCACTTCAGGAGGCGAGAGCAGGAGCAGATTGTGGGGAGGGTATCTGGCTAGGAGGGAGGATGCAAGGAGAAGGGTAAGGTTGCCAGGTGTCCGGTTTTGTACTGGACAGTCCAGTATTTGAAGATTCTGTCTGGGAAAGAAATTGAGAAATTACCAGACACATAAAATGCCTGGTATTTTCTAATTAGATACGTTTTATTATAATTAGGAGTATTAGTCCTTAGCTGCCTGGCTGGTAGATGTGCTCACGCTGTCTGAGTGCGTCTACCTGCCAGCCAGTTTGCAACTACTCCATGGAGGGTACGGGGGGGAGAGGGCAAAATGGAATCCCTGGCCAGACTCACTCATCTGCCAGGGTCTGCATGTGCCCAGGTAGGTCTCACTCCCCCCCCCCTTTCTCTTCATGATCT